TTAGAAGTCCAAAGTCAGGTTAATTTAAATACGCAACATCTGCAAGCATTGACTGATGGAGGTTTTGAAACTGCTGATAGGGTTTTGAATTGCCAATTAGTAATATCTGTAATTTTCTTGATCTAAATCTGAAGCTTTCAGACAAAGTTTTGTTCAAGAGACTGGTGAGGAAACCCTAATTTTTTTAATTTTTTTGAGTTTTTTTCTGTTATATTCTATATGTATTTTAAATATGCAATTTATGGTTTAACTAGGTGGTTGCTGTTTCTTCCAAAGGCGGATCTACATTAAGAGAAGCCGTGAAATTTATGTTAAGGAGCATGTTAAATAATACAGTTTTAAGAAATTTAAACTGGACAGGGCAACCGCCAAAAACCAAATTCGGAAAAACAAAATGTCATCGAGTTATTTAAAGTATGTATTTATAATATTTTAAGAGTCTAAATACGACTTATATTATAAATTGAAGGATGTAGATATTAATTATTTGATTGATTGATTAGTAATATAATTTTTTAATATAAAATTAAATTAGTTTTATGAATAAATGTTTTCCATAAGCCATTACACATTATTTTGCTCTTCTGCAAAAAAACATTTGAACCTGTTTTTAACAAAAATGTTTCAATAGGTGAAAATTTATCTATTAGGATTGTATTATTTTTTAAACAATTTATAAAAAAATTGTTAGTTGAAGTATCTAGGGAAAATTTTAGAAATCAAAAACTTCTAACCTTTCTTTGCTTCTAAAGTATGAGATAAATTAGGAATTATTTACGTTTTCTAAGCACTAACGGAAAATCATCATGTGTATTGGTAATAGGAATACGTGTAAGTTATGGAAACTTACAGTCAATGCAACACTGTAAGTTTCTAACCAGTAAGTTTGCAACATGGTAAGTTTGAAACATGAAGTTGCGAAATTGTGGGGATTTTTCAACTCGACTTAGTGTTACTTAAATTTTCTATGTAACTATAATATAATACAAGTATTTTAATTTAATTTACTATATTATTTAGTATTTTCCTTAAAATATTATGCTTATTATATGCTATATATATATATATATATATGTATATATATATATATATATATATATATATATATATATATATATATATATATATATATATATATATATATATATATAATATATATATATATATATATATATATAAATATATATATATATATATATATATATATATATATATATATATATATATATATATATATATATATAAATATATATATATATATATATATATATATATATATATATATATATATATATATATATATATATATATATATATATATATATATATATATATATATGTTATTAAGCTTACAAACTTATTTTAATCAAGTTGTAATTTTATAAAGAATATTCCAACATGAAACTCTACAGAGTGTGACATACAATAAGAAATTGTTCGCTTTATACATGGGTCGAATGATAGAGATGGCGGTCGTAAAGAACGAAAAGAAAGAAGGAAACATTCAACCCCGATTAGCAATATTACAGATATTGAAACATCTTCATCTTCAAATGATGATTAGGCTTTTGTAAATTTATTTTTGTTTGGCAAAATGTTGCATTAATTTTGAAAATCTCTTGTTTCATTTTTTTTTTTTTTTTTTTCATTTTTTTTTTTTTTTTATTTTTTTTTATTTTTATTTAGATCTAAGAAGTCTTATCACAGAGCACCGCCACATGGAGAATAGCATTTATAGGCTTGTTGGCTCCCCGTTCCCAATTTCACCGAAAATGCTTATATGCTTCGCTATATTAAATATATACATATGCATATAAATATATATATATATATATATATATATATATATATATATATATATATATATATATATATATATAATATATATATATATATATATAAATAAATAAATATATATATATACATAAATATGTATATATATATATATATATATATATATATATATATATATATATATATATATATATATATATATATATATATATAAAAATAAATAAATATATATATACATAAATATGTATATATATATATATATATATATATATATATATATAAATATATATATATATATACATAAATATGTATATATATATATATATATATATATATATATATTATATATATATATATATATATATATATACATAAATATGTATATATATATATATATATATATATATATATATATATATATATATATATATATATATATATATATATATATATATATATATATATATATATATATATATATATATACATAAAATTTTTATTTGTATAAATTTTTTTTATTATTTTGATATTTTTTGGCTTCGTGTTAGATTTAGATTGAGGTGAAATTGTGTTTAAAACTTGTCTTTGTGTTTTATAATTTATATATATATATATATATATATATATATATATATATATATATATATATATATATATATATATATATAATATATATATATATATATATATATATATATATATATATATATCAGTTAAACTGGATAAAATTTGTTATAACAAAATACATATATATATATATATATATATATATTTTATATATATATATATATATAAATCGGCACACACGTGCCGTTCTTAGCCGAGGTCAGGTCGGCAAAACACTTTGCTATGCTTAAATAAGTTTGGAAAAAAATTGAAAAAATTAATTGAATAAAAAAAAGAATGCATTATCTTTTTAAATAAAACTTGCCTAACGTGGATTTTTCTAAATTTCTTCAAAAGTAATTACAAAAACTAAATGATAAACTTATATTTAACAAATATTATTTATTTTTTACATGTATTTATTTATGCATGCCGACACTTTAAGAGATTCAGGTCGGCAGTTGCATGCCGTCATAAAGCAAAGATAGGGCGTCTTTTGCGACGGCATTGCCGAATGCCGACCTGAATTTTGCTGACTGTATATATATATAATATATATATATATATATATATATATATATATATATATATATATATATTATATATATATATATATATATATATATATATATATATACATATAATATATATATACATTTTGTTATAACAAATTTTATCCAGTTTAATTCACTAATCATGAGGAAAAGTTTATATGCAAGTGTAATTACGTATTGTTTTATGGAAACAATATTGAATACAGCTTACTTTTTATGGATATAATATTGAATACAGCTTATGGCAGTGGCATATATGTAAATAAACAGATTTAAATTCAATATGTCCTTCAAATATTATGTGCTGTTACTTACTTTGAGGCTATTGTACTGCTAGAAGAAGAAGAATGTTTTAGGTAGTTGCATATTTTGTAACGTCTTTGTAAGTCTTTTATACTGTTATATATACATTTTATTATTATTTCATTCATATCATATTTAAGGATATTTTTATTGTTTTTTCTGCTCTTTTTTTTTCAGATTCTTACCCAAAAGCTGTTCAAAAATTAAAAGATACCAAATATACTTCAGATTTACAAACAGAAGTTAAGAAAATTTGTCAACGACCAAAACGTAAATGGTGCTTAACATTTTTTAAAATAAATAATAATTAAGATTTTCTGAATAAAAAATTGTTTTAGGTATATAATTTACACAAACAAAAACAGAACTGTTTTTTTTCTGAAAAACTTCTGATGTAATAGTAGGTTAAGTAGGAAATGTTGGATCGTTTTTTTTACTGATTTTTTTTTTTTATTGTGATTAACATAACAATAAAAATTTTAATTTATTATTTTTAATTTATTTATTAAAGTGTTTGTATGGCTCAGTACATAAACTATTAAGTTAAAATGTTGCTGATACTGTAAGCAAGAATTTGTGGAAAATATAGTTATTTTGTCTTTCTATTTGTCTGATATTTTGATCGGCATAGTCATTGTTTGAAGGTTATTTAAAAACTAGTTTACACTTTTTTACTCTTAGTGTTCTTTCTGTCAAATCATAATATATACATTATTAACTATTTTTTTTAGAAAAGCAAGGTCTTGCTTTAGTGTTAAGGCAATAACTTGATGATGTTGAAAATGATAGTGTTTACCAGATTATTAATCTTCATATTCACAAGATAATGAAGCAGCTAGAGTACTTGGTCATAGTTATCAATCAGATGCAGCGCTAATACGTGACAATTTTTTAGATAACAGTTTTGAAGACGATTTTCAGAAAATAGAAAAAATAATTTTGTTTCAAAGCAAGCTAGAACAAGGATTGAGCATTCCATTCTGAGCATTCCACAGACTTTTAATTTTAATTATTAATTTTAATTATCAATACTCAACATATACAACCATTTGCTGATAGAGGTTTTGAATTTGCTGATGAGGATTTTGAACAAAATTTTGTTCAGGCTGGTGAGGAACTTGTCATTTTTACAATTTTTTTGTACTATTATTATGATGTATTCTGGTACTGTTTTTAATTTCCTGTTAAATTCCTGTAAGTGACAAAAAAGTAATCTATATATATATGTGTGTGTGTCTATATATATATATGTGTGTGTATATATATAAAAATTATTTTAGTGTATTCTACAAATAGAGTGCTCAATGAGCCTAAAGAACAGAGCAATAATAAATTAGTAAAAACACTTATATATCTTTTTCTTTTTAAACTTGTTTAACCTTCAAATGGCTCATCAGTAAGCTATTTACATCATCATCATGAGCTATTTGAAGATGAAATAAGTTTTAGAGGAACAATATAGATAAGGGGGCATCCATAAATTACTTAGACATTAAAACACTGATTTCGGACCCCTTGTATGCACCTGTATGCATTTGTTTAACCTCCCCCCATGTCTGTACGCATAATTTATTACAAAATCAAGCTCCACCTTCCCCAATGCATAAGTATTTTAAAATATTAAAAACAAAAAAAATATTTAATTAATTTAACATTTTTCTGTACTTAATTAAAACTTCAAATGCTACTTAATGTACTTATTTAAATCTTAAATTTTTACAACATGTTTAATCAACATTTTAAGAGAAATGCTTAAAACCAGGTTGCGTAATTAAAAAAAATTCAAAATATGTTTGCTTTTGTTTGTCTTTTTGCTTCTCATCTTGCTTCCAAATGAATTACATTGCAAAAAAGAAAATACATTATTTGAAACAATTATTGCTCAATTTATATTTTTCTCTACTCATTATTTATAAAGTTTTTTGAAGTAGTTATAAATATTTATATATAAATATATAATTGTGATAAATAATTGTTAATTGATAAGTAATTGTTTTATGAGTTTGTATGTGCAATGTGCAATTTATAATTTAACTAGGTTGCTGCTGTTTCTTCCAAACGTGGGACTGCATCAATGCTGTGAAATTTATGCTAAGGACCATGTTGACTAATCAAGATTTAGAAAATTTAACTGGACAGGACAACCCCTAAACACCAAATTCGGGAATGCAAATGCCATGGAGTTTTAAGTATGTATTAATAATATTCTAAGAGTCTAAATAATTCTTGTATCCTAAGCGGAATCTCCATCGGATGAATCGGAATTCCAAATGAATATTTGATGTTTTTTTACATAAATATTTAAATATATAAGTTAGGTAAGACTAACTTTAAGGGGAAAGAATTTTTTTTTTAATTCTTATTTCCTTAAAGATTAAGAGCAACTTAGATTTCGACTGAAAAAGGAAGTGGAGGACATGAATAAAAAACCTATGTTTAAATGGCCAGCAGTGGATAGCCAATGCTGCATTCCAGATGACATCGTTTGGAAGCTTGAAAAAATGACTACAAAAACAGGATGTGGCTACTATTTAGATGACAAAGACTTTAACAAATTTATTTTCTGAAGGAAATAGAGATTTTTATATTTAAACTATTCAACTTCATGAAAATTCGGATTTAGCAGGTTTTAAACTCTTTCGGTACCAAATTTCAGCATCATTACAAGCACCCTATAAGGTAATAGTAAACAGAAAAGTTTTTGGCACTTCCCTCTCATTTTTCAATCATAATCAAACAAACTTCAAGTTGCTGTATATTCTAAACAGATAAAAAAAAAAGTTTTTTTATGGCATCTAAACGTTTGTACCAAGTTCCAGAAAAGTTGGTGATATATGATGCAGATTTGTTTGTTTTGTTTTTTAATTTATTTATTCGTTGGTTAATAAAATAACCATTATAATTATAGTCTTATATTTAAGTATAATATTTAAATTTAATTTAAATAAGTTATAATTTTATAAAGTTTAATTGATTTATTTTGTTTGTAATTAATAGACGCTATAGCAAGGAATATTTCTACACGCAGCTGAACGAGTGAACTTAGTGAGTGTGATATTCAAAAATAAATCTTTCACTATATTCATGGGTCAATTGATAAAGATGGTGGTCGTATGGTGAACGGATGGTGGTCGATGGTTGATAAAGATGGTGGTCGATGGTTGATAAAGATGGTGGTCGATGGTTGATAAAGATGGTGGTCGTAAAGAACGAAAAGAAAGGAAGAAACTAACAAACAACGCTGATTAGCAATAATACGGATAATGAATCACCTTCTTCAAACGAAGAATAATCTTTTAAAAATTTATTTTTTGGTTGAAAAAATTGTTAAATAAGTTTAAAAAATCTCTTGTTTTATGAAGTAATAATGTTGTTGTTAATATTTGCGGGTCCCAATTTTGCATTAACACAATTTGTCTAACTAGTACTATTAATTGAAAGGCTATTTAGTTTGCAATTGAGATGAACACCCGATAGAAGTGAATGTATTACTAATGGAGGAACACTAGGCAGATTTCTAATTATTGCTAATAAATCCCAAACCCTGTTGGAAAGTTTATATACTTCTTTACTTGTTCAAACGCCCATTAATTTCTGAACTAGAGCAGTTTTTCTTTTTCTTCCTCTTTTTTAATAAATAAAGTTCTATATATAGAGGCCTATATATAGCATGTAGGCAAAAATATACTGCCATTACGAAAACGATGGCTGACCGCTAACGGCACATACCGCTATAGGTCCACTAAAAAACCATTTACTGAACGTGCCACTAAAGGACCACTGACTGACCGCTAAGTTTTGTGCCACTATTGGTCCGCTAAAATACCGATGAGCAAAACTCAACTGCTCCATTAGCGGCACGCCGCTATTGGACCGGTAGCGTTGCCTACATCGGCCCTATATAGGTCCACTATATCATGTTTACTGGGATGTTGTCAATGAAAGGTAAAATTTAATTCTTCAGGTCACATACTTAGAAACAACATGTCTTGATTATGAGGTTAAGCTGATTATCATGTTGAATCCTGCATTGGGGCAGGATAGGCTCTTTAGCCGCGTTGAGTGTAGCTTACTTAGGATAGGAAACTTTTCCTGTCATAAAACCCTGATGTAAAACCATAAATTTTAGCATAGTAATAAAATTTTATTTACTATTTTCATTGTATTGTTTTAGGAGCAATGGATAAAATAATGGTCACTTTAACATAAAGGTCATTAACTCATTATTAACAAACGACCTACAACGAAAGTTTCATTGGAGTGGTAGTTGGGCCGGCTGGAGTTGAAAAAAGCATTTTATCTAAAAAGGCTTTTTGCAAACTTAGTTGTTTTTTAGCGCTGCAGAGTAAGTAATTTTATGTGAGTAATTAATGTGTAACGTGTATTTAAATCATCAGAAAAACTAATTTTAATTATTATACATAGCAAAAAATGTTTCTATTTATTGTAATATTTATTACTATAAATGTACAATTTATTTTGTCTAATTAGTGTCAATCTCTGCCCGTTTTGCATTTTAATATGTTTGTATTATAGAAAGAATCAATAAACATTTACCAACAAGATCAGTAACCGAAAGCGAGTTTCAGATTGAAGTCGTGCGTTTTTTACGAGGAGCTGCAGGCAGGAATGGGGGAGAAAAATGAGAGCAGATAATAGGAATACGCTTGAAAGAGATTCTTCTTCGAGTTAAAAATATAGTTCTCAAGCAATGAGAAGTTTAAATAACAACTACATGTATCTAATTATATTTTTGATATCTAATAGTTTATGAATTCAATCTTTTGTTTTTAGGCGAAATAAAGCGGTTTATTTTCTTGCCTCTGTATTGAAAACTTAAATATAATGGTGGTCCACAAATCACCCATATTAAAATATTTTTGATTACTACTTTACTGATTAATACTTTTATTTTATTCATTTAAATAAATTATTTTGTCCAAAATTGGACCAAATGCTGCTTTAACCTGGCAAGCCGAAAGCGGCGTACCTATAGCTAACCTACAGCGGTCCATTAGCGGCTTGATACTAAAATTTCAAAGAAAAGATAGTCTTAATAGAACATAACCTGCTTTGAGCACATTAGTTAACGTAATTCCAACAAAAAGAACAAATATATGGTGTGTGTGTATGAAATTTTGCAGGCCATTTCAACCGGGCTGTTGATGGACCTATGGCGGCTAGCCAGCAGCAAACCATTGCTAAACCTACATCGACTTGCCGTTAGCGGGCCAGTGTTGCACATACACCGGCTTATATCGGCTTGCCGTCTGTGGACCGTCAAATAACCGATGTGCAAGCCTACGAGGCAGCGTTGTGGTTTGCCGACGTCGGGCCAGCGTGTGCGCTGCAAGAAGCCCGATTGCGGCCCGCATATATCTTGCTCACTGGGTTTATCCCTTATTATTAAATAAAAATTTTCCAAGTTTTAGATCAACAATCTTTTTTTTTTCATCACTTTTTTCCGATACTCAAAAACTCTGTTGGGTTTTAAAGTGTGTTTTTTCTTTCATATTGTTCAAGTGTGCATGGCCGTAACTTTTTAAATAGACAAAAATTTTAACTTTTTTTTTTATAGCTTAAATCTGCATGCTATGTAAGTATACAAAAACTAAGTTAAATTTTAATTTCAAAAATTAAATATTTTACTCATGCCCACCATTTAAACCACTGTGCAAGGTGATCATATTACCCTAAACTAGGGATGGCATTTTTACATATTTTGATGTAAAAACGCGAATTACTTTAAAGCGCAAATTACTTTACATAACTTATATAAAAATATATAACTTACTTACATTTAAAAGTAATTCGTTTTTTTTTTACGTAAATTATATAACGTGTAAAACTTAATTGCTTAAGTTAAGTTTTTTAAATGAGTAACTGTTACTTGAAAAAGTAATTTACTTTTACAAGTAAAAGTTATTTGCATTTTTACTTTTACCTGTAAAAGTAACTTACTTTTAATGGTAAGTCGTCTAAAGTAAATTACTTTCAAAAGTAATTTTGGTTATAATTATGTAAAAAATGTAATTTTTTTAATGTAATTTATTTTTTAAATGTAAAAAAAGTTATTTATGAAGTAAACTTACGTAAATATAATTTTTAAAAAACATAACACTTACTTTACCAAATAAAATAAAACTACATCGTAACAACAAATTACTTTTACGTGTAAAAGTAACTAATTAGCATTAATTAGCTCACATAAAAGTAATTTGAAAAAAATTGTTATTTACTTTTACAAATAAAAGTAATTTTTTCTTTGAAATTTTATACTTTACTTTGTAAGTAAGTAAAATGTAAGTTACATTATTTACTTTCTTAAAGAACAGTCATTTAATGTTGATTTTACGTAAATTTTGAGATAGGTAGCGTATTCAAATCCATTTTCCGTTTGAGGGCACTTCTGGGTACTACTTCAGGTATGTGGGCAAGTATGTGGTGGGGCATCAAAAAAATTTTTTTTTTCACGTATATCAGAAAGAGTAGTTCTATTATAATTAGAGGCAAATATAGTCATGCGGGAATAACAGTAGTGTAGAGACGAGAACCCTGCCGCATGAGTGCTAATAAAAGCTGGTAAATAATCATTGATTTTTTATTTCTTTTTTTTTTTGTTAAGTAGAAATAGGTTAATGGTCATAATGAAACTTTGTCGGGGAAGGAAGGGGGCATAATTTCTTAGCTATGGGTAATTCATGCATGTGTAAACCCTGACTAAGTCACTGTTCGTTAGAGCGCGCTTTTTCTCCAGTTTTTTTCTTTGTATTTGCCTTTTCCATCAAGTATTTTGTTATGGTAATATGACACAATATAATATTTTTGGTACCTGCAAGGACATCGATTGCTACAACAGTTTTCAAAAAATTATAAGTCATTTAAACTATAAGTTATAATTTATATGATTAAAGGAGTGTTTATCAGATATAATCTTTTATTGCGTTTTATCATATATAATGAAATTATATTGCGTTTTATCATATATAATGAAATTTCTATTCAAAAAAAGATGGTAAGAAAAGCTTTATTTTTTTCTCTAATACTTTGTTTTTCTCTAATAATTGAGGTCTTTAACATTTTAGAAAGAATGATTTCTGCAAGAAACCTTTAAAAAGGCATTTTTTTTTGGTTTATTTGTTTTAGTATTAAATTTTTTGTCGGGAGAAAATGACCTTGATAAAAATTTACCATAAAAGAGTCGTGCATATTTGTAGCTGTATTCGTGCATATTTGTAGCTATGTTGCTGCTTTTTGCTTCTTTGCTTTTTGCTTCTTTCGCATATTTGTAGTTTGTAGTCGTGCATATTTGTAGCTATGTTGCTGCTTTTTGCTTCTCTTAATCAGTGTGGTTGTTGTTAACGCTAATACGCTAACTCAAATGCATATATAACAGCTTGGGGTGTGATACCCCCTTCACCACACTGGTCCTGGTCGTAACAACGACTAACAGAAATGAATTTTTTTTGTTTTGTTTTTGTTTATTTATTAATATCTATTTATAAAACTGTTGTCTTGAATTAACTAATTTCAAACAGTCTATTCCAGACATTAATTATTTTTTTATTATTCTATTATCTAACAATTATTCTAGTTAGTCATTTCAAGAAATAACTTTGATTTTGGTTAGACTGGTTTTTAACAACAACTACGCTGAATAAAAGAAGCCAAAATGCAAAACTTAGAACAAAATTGCAAAATGCAGAGCCATTTCCAAAGCAAGAACAGTAAACCAGACAGTCTTTTAAAAAAATATTTAATTAACTTATGTAAATAACATTAAAAAAGTTAAAGTTAAAATAGTAAAAGTAACTTTAAAATTAATTTAAAAAAAATTTATAGCTTTTCATAACTACAACAACCACTTATTTTAATTTGTTTAATATAACGAATTTAGTAGGATGGTTCAAAAAAGCAAAATACTTTTTAAAATACTGGTTAAAGTACTTTTCCTCATTTTCAGTTAAATACAAAGTTTTAAAGTAAAATTTCAATTCTTCTCTTTAAGTAACATCGAGTACCGCAAGTTTCTCGAGCTTAAGTTACTTCTTTCATTGCGATTAATAAAGTTAGCAACACTAAATGAGGATTCTGGCCGTACCGAACTAGCAGGTGAAGTACATACCTCTCTTGCTTTAGAGGCTAACATTGGAATATCGTTTTCATACTTGTACCAAAATTCATCGAATTTCCAAGTTTTTGCCTTTATAGTATAACTGAAAAAGGATAACTCCTCTTTTATATTTTGCTTTGACTGTGTTTTTTCTTCGCACAGATTAAAACCACATAATGTTGCAAGCTTAGCAAACCCATATTTGCGTTTAACAGGAACTTCAGGTGAAACATGAAATTGAACATCATTACTTGAATCAATCATATCTAAAAATGAAAACAAGTATTTATATTAGCTGAAATGTAATCTATTTTTTAACAACACTGAAAATGTAAAACAAGTAAAATTTTTATATAAATTTAAAAACAAATGTTTTTTAACAAACATAAATTTTAGGTTTCCCAGCCGGTACAACTCAGAAAATAGTTACGCTTGATTTTTGTTGCGTTTTTAAAACCTTCTAAAACAAAAAGAATAACACGTATCAAAAATGGTTTTTATTCCGTGAAATTAACTATTACTATTTATCATAAATACTAGTTAAAGTATTAATGGGTTTCACCGTTATGGAAACGTAGTATTATAATGTAATAATTTTCCGTAAGGAATGTGAAACCACTGGTAAAAACATGCGATATTTAAATGTGACTTTAAAACCTCAAAAAACACGTGTTAAACTCTAGTAAAACTGCCCGTATTATACACGTGCTTTTGGTTTAGGCCTGGATTGTGAAAAACACGTGCCTATATAGATTTTATTTCCGAAAAAGAAACTAGATGTGCCGGTAGGGTTATAACTAACCACTTCTCGAATAATTTTGTTCATTTTGCAAACAAATGTTTGTATGCGTTGATCTTCGAGGATATTGTCGGAGTGCTGACTTTGCAAATTTTTTCATAAGTTTGCTTTCTGCTTCTTGATATTCTTTTTCTGTAAGACACTCGTTTGTTCTCGAATCAAAGAAACATGCTAGCAAACTTTGCAGCTTTTGTTTTGTAGACATCTTTTCAACAAAGTATACCTTCATGAACTTGAGAAGACTAGCTCGTAACATGTTCTCTCTTTCCACCGTAGGATATGGTTGTAAAAAAAAACATTTAGCTGAAGATTCATTTTCAAGAAAGTTCATTAATGTATTTTGAACGAATTTTGCTTAAGAAAGTGTTGGAAAATTTTAGTAGAGAGAAGTTTAGTTGCTTCAAAAAATGGAGCAAGGTTATAATGTAAAATGTTTAGGAACTTCCAGTCATCTGATAACAAAGCTCGTTTCTTGAGTTTATTAATCTGTTTTTCTGTTAACCTATCAATAGTGCCAGGATCTATTGTAATTTTATTATAAAAAATATTTCGCTTTTATTATCTTACTAATCATCAAAAATGTTGAGTTCCAACGTACATGAAAATCTGACGAAAAGTTTTTTAATTTCATTCCCTGCTTCTTAATCTCACTAAAAACAAATGATTGCGAAACAGAAGATTGTTTAACATTAGCTATCGTCTTTCTTAACCTGAATAATATGCTTGATGAATACATGAATAACTGTTCAACATTTTCATTGGTTGACGCCGGCTCCTCCTCGCTAATTTCTTCATCATCTGAGCTAACGTCTTCTTTGTCATAAGTGCATGCAATTTCTTCTTGATCGTCAGATGAACTATTTCCATTTGATTCGATATTGCTTTCATTATAATTATTGTAATATATAAGGTCTTTATCTACATATGCTGTGCTATCTAATAAGTTATGTGATGGTTTAGTCCACAATTTGATTCCATGGTTCAAAACAAGATTTAAATTATGACAAATGCATGAAAGTCGTAAAGCAATAGATCCCATCGCCCTTTTAATATCTTCAGCGTTGTCAGTTGTAATTGAAATAATTTTAGATTTAATTTCAAGTTTATTAATTTCTTTTTGTACAAATGCTGTAAGTCTATTACTTAATTGCCTCCCATAAAACCTACGAAAACAAACTATTTTTGATTTGTATTTAAATTTTTTTGTTAAGTAATGCGCTGTTATGCAAAGCCAATACGATCCAACTCGATTTTTGCACAAGTCTGTTGCTAGTGCTATGTACCCAACGGGCACGGCAACGTCTATATGACGTCGAAAAGAGGTCTTTTTTGGACGTCCAGAACTGGTTCTAAATGGCAACGCCAGATGACGTCTTTTTAAGACGTAATTAGGACGTCTTTTTAAAACAGAATAAAGACTAGTTTTGAGACGTCTAAAAGACGTGAATTTAGGACGTTCAGAACTAGTGCTAAATGGAAACGCCGAATGACGTTGTTAAATAACCTTAATTTAGACGTTCTTATTTCGACGTCTAAAATACGTATTCTGACATGGCTTTACTTAAACGTAAGGTTCAAATTTATGTTTTCACAGAAATTCTTGAGAATAAGAAAAATAAATAAATAAATCATTTAAATTTTTTAATATAATTGTGCTGAGTTTTATAAATTACAACTTTTTAAACTTCTTCCACTTGTTAATTTCTAAGAATCGAATTTTCGAACAGTTGACGTCATTCACCTTCTTTTTGATCAGATGCACTCTTTAAAATATTGCCACCAGCATTTTAAAGTTTTTTTTGCTGTAGGAATCAGGGAAGCAGTCTTAACCTTAAAAAAATATTGTTAAGATAAGTATGTAAAAATAAAGGGGAAAGAAATAAATAACACACACACACACACACACCCACCCACCCACCCACACACACACACACACACACACACACACACACACACACATATATATATATTATTTTATAAACATAACATCAAACATCAAAAAATACGATTTTCTCAACACTAAATTTATTTTTTTAAAGAAGTTTTTGACTAGATTGCTGTGACCAGCGTATATATTTATGTATATCAAGTTTGCAATATAATTGCGGTATTAAAAATGCTCTTTTTATAGTAAAATTATACTTACTTTAAAAGCATGCCCTTCTCAAATGCACTGCATGATGAGCCACCAACATTTAATAACTTCTATTTCTAAATTCAAAAGATAACACTAGTGTAATTGATATGGAACAATTTAGTGTAAGTTATATTGGACAGAGGAGCAATTCATTAGTGTTTTATTCAATTCAAAAATTTTGTGTAAATTATGTTTATTTGTAAAGTGAGCATTATGTATATAATTACAGATCAAAATTTTTTATGTAATTTACCCTTATAAAAAAAACTAAACATTTAACCATAATAAAAAATATACTACTATTTGCAACATTAGTATTGAGAATTGATTGATCACATTCAAGAAACTTGGCGATAGAATCATACTAGTAAAGATCAAAACTATTCTTAACTTAATACGTTTTTTATATTTCATTATTCTTAAGATAAGTAAGTAAACGAATTAAAGACTATATATTAGTTAATTAAAAAACAATATGCTATTATAATTTATATATATAAATTATAATAAAAAAAATATATATAACATCTTCGCTTCCAACAAGGCTGCAAACAACCACTATAAGAGTTAAGAAGTTATTGGAAGAGAAAAGATTAAGTTCGTAGAGCAAGATAACGATTGACAGATGACTTAAAAGATTGCAAACTATATAAATCAGGAAAGCAAGATGAAGGAAGCAAATTCCAAAGAACTGATGTTCGTAGAAAAAAACTAGCTTTAGAGCAGTGCCCATTATAGTATTTGTAGAAAAGAGAAAATAAAGCAACATCACGACGATGTGACAATGGTTGGAGATTGGCTGCACAAGCAGTTTTTGCGTTTTTACACCTTGTCTAGAAGAGAAAGGACATCAATAGAAGATCTGTCCCAGATATGGCAACAGTATTCCATACAGGGACGGATTTGAGATTTATAGAGATAGAGAATAGAATATAGAGTAAGGAAGTGTCGAGCTCGCTAAAGAGATGCAACCTTAGCAGATGCTAATTTTGCAATGGATTTGGTTTGCGGTTTAAAAGAAAGATCAGAAGTAAAAGTTAATCCTAGAAGATGAAGGGCAGATGACTCATCTAGTACATTACCATTCATAAATATAGGAAGATCTAAATTATTGCAATAACGATTGGCCGAAAAAAATTGAATTTTATCTAAAAAAAAGTTCACCAGCCATTGTGAGCTCTATGCTGTAGCAGAGGTGAGATTCTTTTCAAGCTCAGATACCCCCTCAAAGCAATCAGAGAGTGTAGACTTCTTATCATGACAAGAATAAATAGTAGTGTCGTCAGCGAACAATGCCATCTTACATGTGATAATATCTGGAAGATCGTTAATGTAAATTAAAAAGAGTATAGGGCCAAGGATTGAACCTTGAAGAACCCCTGACGCTACAGGATATGAAAAAGATATATATATATATATATATATATATATATATATATATATATATATATATATATATATATATATATGTATATATATATATATATATATATATATATATATATATATATATATATATATATATATATATATATGTATATACATATATATATGTATATATATATATATATATATATATATATATATATATATATATATATATATATATATATATATATATATATATATATATATATATATATATATATATACAATAGAAATATAGGTTTGCAATCAATCAAAGGACTATATAATTTCTTTAATAATAAGTATAATCCGTTTACTTTGATAAAATTTCCTAGATGATTAAAAAAAAAAGGAAAAATTAAGGAGTGTTTCTCATCGGTTACTTAGTAAATTGCCAATAACGTTCCAACACGTGATATAGTGGTTATTCATATGTTAATAAAGTCATATGAGAGACAGGTGGGTAAAAAATTTCCTTTAGGGTAAAGGAAATTTTCTACCCTCCTGTCTCTTATATAACTGTTACGACTGGTTTAATTTTTTCAATTAGACTTAATTTTTAGTCAAGACTTTTGAACTTCACTTATAACTAATTACTAAAGTTAAATAATTGGTTATTAGCGAAGTTCCAAAACTTGATATTGTAATACTTCAAAAAGTTCATTAACTAATGTACTATCCCAAATATTTTTAATTAAACAATCTAAAAATTGTTAATTAAAGATATTGAATTATCAGCATAAACTCTCTGTATTATTAATAGATTTTCCTTTTGAAAAATATGACTATGCATGAGATTCTGCGATGTCTAAATCTTTCAAACAGTCAGAACTTGGTATTACTCTAGATATTTAACTGATTTTTTTTATTTAGTAAAGCATTCTGGATATTTTTTGGACGAAAAACTTATTAGACGCAAAAAAGACGTTCAAAAGACGTTTAGAATTTTAATGGGACGGACGGACGCGATTTGAACGTCATAAGGACGTCTTTTTTACGTCCTGTGCCCACTGGGTAGGCAACTAATTTAAGCTTAGCTTTACGATCGTTCTTGTATTGATATTACCGTTTTCTTAATTGATTAGCTATTCTTTCGATGAGGCGGCTTGCAATGCGGAGCAAGAATGTTTAGAAGGAGTTGCATACCAGGTTTATGAAAATCGTTGAAAGGGCGGCTATATTGAATAATACAAATTATTATGGCTTCATCTATTTCATCTCTGTTCAGCGTTTCGAGGAATTGATCTTGAGAAATTTTTTTTTTCGAGAATCGTAAAGGTACTCTGGTTTTTTATAAATATGAAATATATGTTTTCGCAGATTTGGCTCAGGCCCACATATAAGTTTTCCCTTTTCTGGACACATCAAACAATCATATTTATTAGCTTCGGAAACAAATGAAAAAAGTTACTTAATGGACAATGGCTTCATTTTACAAACTGATTTTATAATTTGATCATCGCCAGTATCAGAGTTCGAAACTATAATATAAAAATAAATTCGTTAAAACATATTTCACGTATTAACGCAAATTAAAGACCGATTTAATGACTGCACTAGAGTCAGGGTTTTTTCAGAGATTTTTCAGAGATTTTTATCGGTTATAATTTTATAATATTATTATTATTATTACGCTCTATTTTCATTAACTAGACTTTTTCATATCTCATTATACAAAATATGTTTACGAATATACCTGAATATGTATTACTGCCGCCAGATTGACCTCTAGATTCTACAGTTTCTATATTTCTTTGAGATAAAAAAAAACGTTTTTGACGATGTAT